GGCCCCGGCCCCCGGTCGCCGCCTTTCCGGACTTGGTGCGATCCGTGCGCAGGTCCCCGCGCGGCTGGAGCCCGTGTCCGAGGCCGGGCTGAGCCCTGCGCGCCCCGCTTGGCCCGGCCCGGCCCCCCGTACGGCATCTAGCCCGCGCACCACTCACCTCAGCCCTGCACATCCCGCTCCTGAAGCTGGGAGCTGACCCACAGAGTCGGCCTGCTGAAACGGAGCTTCCCGCTCATGTGCTTTGATGGGCAAACTGGGTGTGAGCGACTGCATAATTTGGTTGCTTTGAGTGGCTTCGCACTGAGTACAGATCGTGAGACTTTTTGGGTGTCTTGGCGGCTGTGCTAGCCAATTCGGTCACCTGTCCACTTCCCCTCTTCCCCAAGTGCGTGAGTGCTATTTCTGGTGAGAAACGGGGTTTGGTGTGATCTAATACAAGCTCATGTGGGCAGCCCGTTCTCAGGAGTCGATTCTTTGGAGTTGATGCTGTAGTTTTCTGGCAGTTTACTGCCGGGTGGAGCCTCTTCCTCGTCATCAGACCCGCATGCCAAAAAGGCTGTTCGGGGATTTCTTGGTAGACTGGAGGTAATTGGTGTTAAAATGGCTATGCCTAGTAATGAGTGTTTTGGCTTATGGCAGTTACATTTTTACTGCCAAAGAGAATAAATCATGCTAATCCGCAGCTGGAGCATTGAGAGCAGGACCCCTATTCCACGTGCTCCAAATAAATCAAGTTGGACCCAAGATGACAGCGTTCTAGACTGGTGCGATTCTGAATTTGAAGCCCAGGACTGTCAAGTAGGTTGACCATTATGGCTCTTGGTTATGATCTTCTAACATCCTTGAGCAAGCGATAGAGAAGGAAACCTCTTCAGCTCCCTTAACACATTGTGCCTCAAACCCCTGTCCCTCCCCCAAAAATCCCATCATTCTGCTTGATGAGGAGTGTTGAATTCTGGAGTGAGTCCCAGCCCCTGCTGTTAACTTAACCAAGTGGGATTGGTGTCTGGGTAACTACAAACAAAGAATATCCCTCCAGGATCTGAGCATCAGAAGACGGCCCCTCAGAGTGGAGTTGGCCACAAGCAGGCTTTTGGGCCTGGCCTTCCATCTTTCATGCACAGAAACAGGAATTAATTTAACTGCTCCTCGATCACCTGAAATAAAAGTCAACCTAATGCATGCTTTCCTAAGATGGCGCTTGGCTAGCTAGAAGCTACATGGTAAGGGGCACTGAGATTCTATTAAAAGGCATTGGCAGAAGTGTGGATTAGCTCTTGTGTATTGTTAGTATTGGTCTCATACCTCAGGTGCTCACACATTTCTCACTGCATTTGAAGCAGACAAGGTTCTTTGGGTAAATGTGCTCTCTTTTATTAGACCAACTAAATAGCTGGAAAAATTGTTCTTTGCAAACTTTTGGACATAAACACCCTTCTTCAGGAGTAGGGAGAGTTTGCTTACTTGCACTTGAAACACTTGAGAAAACTCTGACTTGGGTTCAAAACCTAGGCAAAGTTGCATAAGGTGGAGGGAGAGAGTAGAAAGTGAAGAATTGGGGTGGGGGGGGAAGGAAATTTACATCTCTAGTCCAATCTCACTACAAGAGCTGCAGGTTAGAGCTTGGATTTGTGTTTGAATCTCAGCCATTTACAGAATTAGGGAGAAGGAAGATTCAAAATGATTTTGTCCTCTAAACTTGGAACACTTTATTGCTGTGTAGCATTCTGGTCAAGTTCTGTGTTGTGAATTGGCATTAGCAGAGTAATGAATATAAGTTTCCTGTTGTCCAGCTTTGACTTCCAGATGTATAATTGCTAAGTTAGAAGGGTAAGATTTATTCCACAGTCTTTTAATCTCCAAGCTCTATTATAAAAGGACAGTGTTGAGGCTCTGCTTCTATGCTGGCATCAGCAGCAAGAGCCAAATCATGGAGGGAGAGTTGAACATTTGAGTGTTTTATTGCCTGAATCTCTTACCTTATTAGTAGCCTACTAGGACGTTTTCTGTTTTTAAAGTAAGTCTGCTAGTTAAACTAGAAGTCTTGCACAAAGTAACCCTGGTGTTGTTAGAGTTGCTTGGAACATGCTCATTAATGTGTTTATGCAGAGCATCTTTTGTGTCAAGGGAGCTGAAGCCCCTGGTATTTAATCAGCCAGCAGTTATCTTGTACAGCACTCATCAGTGGCATCTCTTGAGTTTGGTTTACTCCTTTGCTGTCACTTCCATCTGCATTTCCTGTGTAGGAGAATTGTGAAGTGACTCTTCAGGGGCAGCCTGTGAACACTGCCCTAGGCTGAGGGCATTGAAGGGATTACTGGTCATATGCCCTGGTTCATAGAAATCCTTAATGATGGCGCTGTCTTATATGGGGCCTTTGTAGGAAGACTTCTCTGAAATCACCTCCTGTGTAGCATCTTCCCCAGGTGTCTCTGTTCCTTTGGGTTTTCAATAAATATTTTCAGGATTTAAGAATCTCAGGATTTGGAACGGGCTGGGAAGGTTTATTTTGTTGCATATATTTTTTGGTCAAATCCTATTTGGTTGTTCTGGGCAGAGAGGTAGTTTTCAGAACTAACCCACTTCTATTGCTTTATTTTTATATGGGTACTGCTTGCAGTGTGTACTAGTTTGGATGGATTTCAAGGCAAATGTGTTCACATTGCCTTGCAGATTGCTAAGTATGAGAGTCTCTGTCTGGAATTTAAATGATCTGCTTCTCTAATGATATTGGATTCAGACCTTACAAAGCACCAAGCTGAGGGGAGGGGGAGGGAGAATCCAGTATAGAACTGAACAGATGCTACCTTTTGAAGTGGTAGAATTTGTACCTCTTGTGTGTTTAATCTATGACAACACATGATTGTCTTGGTAAGATGTGCCCTTGAACTTTTTAGGCTCCTGTCACACCTCCATAACTCCTGTGAATCAAATGGAACCCTATTTCAACAACTAATTTATTATTTTTATTGCAGCACTGAACCCCGGGTGAGGGTGGTGGTTGGGAGAAGTTTCCTGCAGAGTATCAGGGCAATTTATGAGCTTGGCTGACTGTCTTGAGTCAGCTTGACTGTCTTGAGCTCCTTGTACTGGAGCTGGGGAAGGATGAAACTGCTCACCATCTTAGGGGAGGAGCGAGCACTTGTCTTTGCCTGCCCTGTGTGAGGAGCTAAGTATGAGCTTACCTCCTTGCACTGGAGCTAGGCAAATGAGCTTGCACTTACCTGCTTGCATAGGGGCCGGGTGGGGAAGAACGAGTGCTTACCTCCTTGTACCCTGTGGCACCCTCAAAAGAATCTTGTGGCACCCTAGGGTGCTGCGACCCCCTGTTGAGAACTGTGGAGTTGCATGTAACTTCTAACAAGACTTTAGACCACCAATTTATTATTTGAGCTTTTGTGTGAAAATTGCCGTATTGTGGTGAGGTGCATCATATTTCTTCTGGCTCCACCAGAATACTGCACTTAAATTCAGAGCAAGCTTTTATACTCTTAAATGCAACATATCTATTTCCCTGTAAACCTGCCTTGTTAATTCTGTCTCTAGCAATTGGTCTTATTCTTTGATTTAGTCAAGGGCCTGAAGGGAAAGCTGAGCTTATTAGATAGGTGTTAAGCTTGTGAGCTATTTCAGCAGCAGAGGAATGATCTGAATTGGGGATGCTGATGTCAAGCTGTTGGACTCTTGTTTTTAGCAGCTGACAATCTCAGATAAGCACTATTAAGTTTGGGGTGCTCTTGTGGGGAGTAGGAAGCATGTAGCAAGTGACATGGCTGGAAACATAAAACTAATTTCCTTTTAAATGGGCAAGTGTAAGAGGAGGGCATGTTCTTACTTCAGCTTATGGACAGACAGACAGTCTGGAGGCCAAGGCTTTGTGCCAGAGAAACAATGAACAGGTACAGAAGACTTATGTATTGGCCCTGGAGGGTAATTCTGTGAAAACCCCTTCTGGGCTAAGCAGCACAAGTAGATGACAGATCTGTCTACAGGTTCTTTGGGATCAGTGCTCTCATTCCAGTCATAATTCTTAACTGAACTGGCTCCATAGTCTGAGGTATAATGGATACAGCGTTAATAACGCTAATGTGAAGAGCTGCATTGACCAGGAAGTAGGAAATGCAGAAGAAAGTGAATCAGAAAGTCTGGCTTGGAATCAGAGGCTTTCACTAAGTCAGAATAGTTTATAAAACCTAGGCATTGCTACTGTTACAATGACTTGAACATGCTGACAAACTAACTCCAATGATACAAAATTTGCTTCCCTAATGCTAGGTTTCTGGAGTTGTCGATGTCCCTGTGCCAGGGCATGTGGCATACCCAGTGCATTCAGAAGGTTAAGATACAACTGGTCTCTAACTGTAATAGAAATTTATTTGTAGCAGTAAAACACAACAGACTGGTAACACCTAGAGCATGGATTGTCCAGTTCCTTTGGCTGAATACCACTCTTTATTCTTGATGTCTGCTGCCCTCTACACCCAAATGAGCTCTTGTCTTATCTTTCCAAACCCAGTGTATGCGGAAATCCTCTCAAATAAGCATTGCAGTATTTTAGCAGAAAGAGACCCATGTCCTAATTCTTGTTTTGCTTCTCTCGTAGGTTCTTTGCACTGACTTCTCTTCGGCTGGTGTTCTTGATTGCATTTAGCCTGATGATAATAGTTTGTTTAGATCAATGGAAGAACAGAATTTGGCCTGAAATTCAAGGTAAGTTCTAGTAGTGTGAAGATGCATCTGTGTTAGAAGTCTAAGCAAGTGCTTTTTGCACCATTTGGTTTTAAATGACTCAAGTCATTGATTCCTAAAGCTAAAAGTTGGTGGCAAGCAGGAATTCTGAAGAAATCTTTGGAGAGATTAAGCTCTTTCTTGCTGGTTGCTCTGGAAAACCTATGAAGTATGACAGTAGAAGATGAGCTTATTAAGAATGGGCATTTTGGTGCTCCCTCTTGTGTTTCACTTTTTAATAAGACCTTGGGCGTCTTACAGTTTATCAAGAGATGTCTTAATACAGATTTTGAGATGTCATCCATGTTCCATCTTATCTGCACACTGGAAAAGATTAAGAAGTGTCCTATGTGTAAATAAGTTTGAACTTTCAACTTCTTCCTCTCTGTTTGGCTGTAAAGTCTTGGAGATTACTTCTCATGGAGATGCAAGGGAACTATGCAAACAGATGGGTTTACTAGTGGTGCCCAAGCTTTTTTCCCAAGGGGGTGGATTGGCAGTGCCCAGTCCATCTGCGGGCTAGATCCAGCCTGTGTTCCTGATTAGTGCCTGGTCACTATCTGGCCACATGGGAGGGAGCAAGTCAGTTCCACAAGGCAAAGGAGCTTGACCCTTTGCCCTTTGCCAGGCCCCAGCCCAACCCCATGGGGTGGGGGGTGTGGTCCAGTCCCACCTGGCCCTGCAGGGTTGTGGGCTTTGAGTGTGGGGGGGGGAGGGGGTGCAGTTAGGCCCTGACCTAGCCTAATAGGGAAAGGAGTGTGGTGCAGATCCCTCGGAAGGGAAGGGGGCATGACCCAGCTCTGATCCAGAACCAGGGGGTGTGGCTTGCCCTTGCATGGAAAGGGGGCATAGCTTGGCTTTCACCAGCTGTGCAGGAGAATGGAACTTGGGGTTTTGGCAGGGGGGAGGGTGGCCATATTAATTGCTACTGCTTCCCAACTGCCAGATTTCAAGACTTGTGGGGAGCCCCACAGGCCAGATGCGATGGCTCTGTGGGCTGCATTTGGCCCACAGGCCAGAGCTTGAGCAGCCCTAACTTAGACTAATGGAGCTTCTATAATATACCATAGAAATAAACAAAGCTCCCATTATACAACTTGTGTTTAGAATAGTGTCCCAGGGTACTTACTGCATAGAAGGTAAGTTCCTGTCCTAATAAGCAAGATATAAATGATTGATACAGAATAGGGCTAGGTTTCTCTGTTATACACTGAAGGCTTGGTTTCAGGGATTTTTAGAAGGTAAAAATGGTTGGTGAATCACATTGTCACTTTGATGTTCAGAAAGTCAGGGAGGACATCTTTAAAAACAGCTGCCTGAGTCTCATAAATGAAATTGCAATCTTTCATGTAGAACTTTTGGTCAGCATTGCCTTTAAAAACGTAAGGCTTGATGCATTTCTCACCTGCCACCTCAAAGCCAAATCTCCTATCTCCCAAGGGCTGGTTTCCTGCCTAGTAACAGAGACTGTGCAAAGCTTTATGCAGTCCAGGAAACAATGTAAAACATAAGGTAAGGCATGGCAGCTGGCACAGTTTCTTGCTTCAGCTATCTTAGGAAGCTAAACAAGCTTATGGTAGTATTTGTTAGTGGTGTGCGAAACGGGCTGTATTCGATTCGGATTTGGATTCGGCCCGAATCGGGGACAGTGATTCAATTCGTTTATTCGGATCACTGTCCCCAATTCTGTTTGGCTGAATCCGAATCTGAAGATTCGATGCTGATTCAGAGAATCAGTGATTTGGCCGTAGACACAGCTTTAAATGTTTTTTTGACATACCTCGAGGTACCAGGCGTGGCTCATGAACACTGTGATGCTGGGGCGGATGGTGTGTCCCCATGGGAGGGGATGCTTGGCAGTGAACACTTCCAGGTTCACCCCCAAGCATGCAGGCCCGCCCCCCGGCTCAGCAGTTGGCCAGGTGCCTCTGGTCCACTTCTGGATCTGCTGCTGAGTGTGCCAAGTCTCTGAATCGATTCGGAGGAATTAAAGGGTCTCCTGAATCCAAATCGAATCAGAGATTCAGCCGCTGAATCTCTGCCAAATCGAATTGGGGACCAAAGCTTCACACAGCTCTAGTATTTGTGCACCTGGGGTTCCACATTCAAGTCCCTTGGTAACTGAGATGTAGGTTAGTTGGGAGAAATAGCATATTCCCAGGTCCCTCATCAAGTCTCATTCAAGGAAATAAAGTGCCAAAGAACCTTTTTCTCCTGGGTATCTCAACGAGTCATCCCTCCCTGTGCACACCCAGCACCGTAAAGTGTGTATATACTGCATGTGGAAACAGGAATGGCAGTTTTAGCGAAACTATAAAGCTGAATAGCCCTTCAGATCATTCTGTTAGCAGCACCCAGTGTGCAGCACAGGAGTAAGCTGTTTCTTGCTGTCCTGGCATCAGAGTACAGTGCAAAGCAGCACATGCCTGGTGGTTGCTTATGTGTAATACTTGTGTTGGCTAATTCTGTACAAACTGACATAAAACTCCCATTTTAAATACAGATTCTTATGGTGAAATTTCTTGCAACTAATGCAATATCTGTTCTTAATATTTTAGTGGCAAGAACTGATGAATCAGACACTGAGAGGTATGAAATATTAACTACATCTCTCTTATATGTTATTCATTACACCTCTCTTTCATATGTTTGGTGTTTTTGTTTTGTTAGCTGTAACTATGTTTCTTGCACATGGTTGTCATGTTGGCTTGGTTTCAGAGCATTGTTTAACAGCTGGAGCAAATGGTCCTGGGTTCTATTCTGCTTCTGCCATAAATTCTTGTCATGACCTATGGCAAATCGCATTACTTCTCTTGTGTTCAACAGGGATGTTTGCTTCAGTGTTGTAGACCTCCATCTAAATTGGAGGTGCTACAAAGACCATGCACAATACGTATAGAGAGCTTCCTTCTCGGTGGATATGTTATGCTGACAGAATAATTCATCTTGGAACAAAGAAACTCCCCTTTTCTGTGACCAGAACTGGATGTACTGCAGGCTTCTCCTAGGAGGAGTGGCTATATAGTGAGATCTTAATGCAGCTCAATGACTGGACTAGAACTCTAGTTGTGTTGGCCTTCCTAATAATACTGTCCCTTTCCAGTCACAAACTGTTGGCGTCTCACACTGCTGACCCAAATTAGGGTTTTAAAAGCTACTTGTTAAATTCCTTAAATGTAGAAAACCACTTAATTAGATGTCAAACAGCAAGTTTTACAAGGGATTTGAACACAAAAGAAAGCAGCCTTCTAAAGGCACAGATACCAAGTGCCTTACCATTAATGAGTACTAATAGGAATTGCTGTATGTCACCTCTTAAGAGTGAAAGTGAATTTATTAGCTGGCATACAGGCCACTTGGAAAACCCAGTACTGAGTTCTTGGCAGCAGTGATGTAAGCACTTCAAAAACAGAATCCAGAAATTAAGCTAATGTATTAGTTATCTGCCCAAAGTATCTTCCTACTAAGTTTAGCTTTGGCTAAATTGAGAGAGAGAACTTCAGTTCTATTCCCCGTAATTCATTTCAAATTCAGTGAGGAAGGCTTGGTGGTAAAGCTGTTGGCTCTAGAATGTGTAAGACTGTTTCAGTACCCTATCCTGCTACTGACGTTTTATATGATACTGAACAAGTCAGTCTGCCTCTGTGGCACCTATGGAGGAAGTAGATTCATTGTGGGTTTAATCAGATTACTGTAATCTACAGTTCTTCTAATGCCACTGATATTATGGAGGAAGCACACTCGTTGTGGGTTTAACCAGATTGCTATAATCTATAGTTACTCTAAACTACTGATGCTGACATTATGTTGGTATGATGAGTACAAAATAAATGAATTCTAAATTTGGTTGGGTATTGGCAAAGCTATTATGTTCCAGTAAAGATGCATATGATTACTTTTAGCTTTTGCTTGTCTTTGGCATCCAAGAGCATCGCAGTTTTTGCATTCTTGAGCAAAGAATTGAGGGAGCTGGATTGCAGCATTTCCTTGTTCCTACTGAAATGTCATGTCTCAAGCTCATTTGCAGGCAAGCTGTCTGACTTTCTCAAAACACTTACTCTTTTTTTGACTTTGGCCAGTGAGGGGAGAAGGGAGCAAGCAGTTTTATATTGAGGGTTCTATAATGAAGAGTTCCAAGATCATATGTTAGCTTAGTAAAACCTTGTGTCCCAGAAGTCATCCGCTCACTAGAAATCTTTTGTTTCCTGTAGCTGGGGTTATGTTCACCCTCAGTTACTCAGCGTACCAGAGCTGTGCCGTCACTTAGCTGAAGGATGGGTCACTGGGGCCAACTTCTTAAGGAATCTCTTGGTTTTCAAAAGTCAAAATCCTGGCAAGGTAAGAAGTGAACTAAATGCTTGGCATCTAGTCTTTGCATACTATTATTACAGGTATTGTAGTGACATCACACAAGGGCTGTGTGCATTCATAGAATCACAGAAATTTAGGGTTGGAAGGGACATCAGGAAGTCATCTAGTCCCATCCCCTGTTCAAAGCTTAACCATGCCCAACTATATCATCCCAGCCAGTGCTTTGTTTAGTTGGGTCTTAAAAACCTCCAAGGATGGAGATTTCACAACCTCTCTGGGTAACCTGTTCCAGTGCTTTACTACCCTCCTCGTTAGACAGTTTTTCCTTATATCTAACCTAAACTTCCCCTGCTGCAATTTGAGACCATTACTCCTTGTTCTGTCATCTGCCACCACTGAGAACAGTCTAGCTCCATCCTCTAAGTAACTGTTTTTCAGGTAGTTGAAGGCTGCTGTTAAATCCCCTGTGTCTTCTCTTCTCCAGACTAAATAAGCCCAGTTCCCTCATCTCCTCAGAAGTCATGTGCCAGCCCCAGCTAATGCAGCCCAGTATGCTGTTAGCTTTCTTTACAACAAGGGCACACTGTTGGCTCTCATTCAGTTTATTGTTCACTGTAACCCCTAGGTTATTTTCTCCAGAGCTGCTTTTTAGCCAGTCAGTTTCCAGCCTGTACTTGTGCATGGGATTGTTCAGTCCTCAGTGCAGGACTCTGCAGTTGTCCTTATTGAGTTTTCTTTTGGTCTAGCACTTCAATTTGTCTAGGTCTCTGAATCCTAGCCCTACCCTTCAGCATATCTACTATTTCCCCCAGCTTAATGACATCTGCAGATTTGCTGAGGGTGCCCTCCATCCTATCTTCCAGGTCGTTGAGGAAGATACTAAACAAAACCGGCCCCAGGATTAACCCCTGGGGCACTCCACTTGATAGCAGCTGCCAACTAGATATTGAGCTATTGATTACTACCCTTTGAGCCTGATGATCCAGACAGTTTTCTATACATGTTACAGTCCATTTATCCAACCTGTACTTCCTCAGCTTGCTTGTGAGAATGTTGTGAGAGACTGTATCAAAAGCCTTGCTGAAGTCAAGGTATATCACGTCCATTGCTTTCCCTGCATTCACAGAGCCACTCATCTCACCACAGAAGGCAGTCAGGTTGGTCAGGCATGACTTGCCCTTGGTGAATCCATGCTGACTGTTCCTAATCACTTTCTGCAAGTGCTTAGAAATGGATTCCTTGAGGACCTGCTCCATTTTTCCAGGGACTGAGGAAGGTGTGTTTTACCTCAAAAGGGCTTATGGTCTGAAAAGAAAGAGAATAGCTAATGGGTGGTGGAGAGGGAAAGCATGGACATGCATTACATGTAGAATCTGATTTAAATGCAGTTTAAACCTGAAACAGACAGATGTGCAAGCTTATACAATTTGTTTAAAGCTGCCAGGGATGGTTGAAAAATGTACCTAGAAAATTAAGGTGCTTTGAATCGGTTGACAATGCACCAGTTCAGGGTTATGTGCAGATGTCAAACATTCTGTGACATGGATCTGGTAAGTCCTCTAGGCATCCCACGTTTCATTGCACCTGCAGCTGGCTCTGGTATGTAGACAGAACTCTACTACACCTTCTTCCTTTTGTTAGCACTTTTTATTGATGACCTCCCTTGCAATGCTTGTTCAGTGAAAGCTGTTGTTCTAACCATCAGGCATGTCTTCATTCCCTGCTTGACCAGGGCCCCTCAGCATGCCCCAAAGAAGCTAATAATGTGGTCCCAAGTACCCCTCCCACCCTTCCGCCCACTTCAAGGCAGTTGAGCACAATGAAGACTTTGGTCAATTGTAGACCCTTGAAGTTTACTGACATGGTGTTTAAGAGAGAAAGGAAAGCAGAAAAGTGAAAACACCCTCAGCCAAGGTTACTCACCCCTCGAGAACCACAAAACACGAGTGTAAGCACCCTCTCCCCACTCATTCACTGCAAGGCATGATGGGCTGGGGGTTCACTTCCTGGTGTTGGTGCCACAGTACTTCAGTGCCTAAAAGGTTCTGCCTGGAACTCTAGGGCACTGTACATGTGGACATCTCCAACCTGTGACAGTTGTGAACTGGTTCCCAATCGGTGATATTTGGGAATGGTTCAGTTGTTACATGTGTCTGAACCGAGAGAGAACATCCAAGCAGAGTAGGGGATGGATATAAACAATTGTAACAATTGCAGTGTTTCAAAGGACCAGGTGTACAAACCTGTATGCCTGTTGAAATGTTATAGAAGCTGCTGAAATGTTGCAAAATACTCCCTTTTTTTAAGATGAGGTACTATTTTGGGGCATTTCACTTTACCTGTTCACTAGGGCAGAAGCCTGTCTGCACTCTAGTTGATTTCACTTTCTGTTTTGTGTGACTGTAACTACTTTTCTTTAGTAGTAGTTTTGAAGAGCTTGTTACTACTACAACAGGTCTGTGGCTCACTTTCTGTGTTAAGCCTGCTTTATGAACCAAAGCAGGAAGTGGTTTGAAAAATTAGTCCCAAGTCTTATTGAAAAAAGAACTTGTATTGGCATTGTAACAGTTCTCTTTGGAAAGGAAATATTCAAGTATGTATACTTTCATTTCTCTAACTGATCACATCTTCAGGAAGATCTACCACTGTACACACTGTCATGTTTTAGCTTATCAGCTGCCTTCCATACGATATGAGATTATTACCCTAGGACAAGATACTGTGGAAAGCAGTCTTTTCTTTACCATGTTAAGGTATCATAGAATAATAGACAGAATTTCTTAGAGGCAGCTGTCTTGCTTCTTCTAATCTTGTTCTATTTAGAGTATCAGAACAGCTTTGCTGATATGAGAAGATGGTTGTTGTATTAGGTTGAAATCATTTGATTCAGTGTTTTATTTTTTAATACAGTGGAAACTTACATTGTCTTCTCTGCCTCCAGTTTTGCCTTTTAGCCTGTGGTGTCTTTACTTTCTTGACTGTTCTGGGCCGTTACATCCCTGGACTCTTGCTCTCCTACCTTATGTGTAAGTACAAGATTCCCAAACCCAAAGGTTTTGTAAAAGCTATGGGAGGAGCTGATATTGCTAATTTGGATTCAGTAGTGAAGCTGGTGTGGCTGATTGAAAATTTAATAGCAAAACAAATTCACCTGGAACGTAGTTATTACTGTCCAGCTTTTCAACATCTTTGTACCAACAGTATGTTTGGGACACTGGGACTGTACTGATACTGAACATTAGCATTTTGCATCTTTTATTTATTCTGTTGAATCATCCTGTTTAACTGTGCTAACTGCCCATCCCCTATAGCATTGATTCAGAGTACAATACTTTACTGTTTGTTGTGCTGTACAGCAGAACCTCGATACTTTTTAGGGTTAGGTCTCCTGTGAAGATGAGGGTTTGCAAAGTAAACCAGGTATGCAGAGCAGAAGGAAACGGCTATATAGGGAACCACTGAGATACACCAGCTGACTGGAAAACCAGTGTCCTGTTCTTCATTTGGCAACCCACTGCAAGTTAAGTGGGTTGTGACCCACGTGGGTATGAATGATCTGGGTTCTAATGTACCTGGTGTCCCACATTTCAAAGCATTCAGTAATGGATCTGCTAAGTTGCATACTGAACAAGTTTCTAACAACTTCCCCTTTTTGCCTTAGTGCTCTTCATTCTGCTGTGGCCCCTTGCAGTGTACCACAAACTGGGGCAGCGTGTGTACATGAAGCTGGAGCCAGCTCTGCAGCGGCTGGACTTCAGTGTTCAAGGTTACATGATGTCAAAACAGCGAGAGAGGCAATGTAAGTCTCCAAAAAAGTAGCTAAAATGAGCCACACAGCTGGATTCTGGACTGGTCACTAAAATGCATCCCCAGTCTTGTAGTTTGACAACTACTGCCTGTGTTGCACAGCTGTTTGATTTCCCCTTGTCAAACATTCACAGCATGCTGATCGGTGTCCACCACACACTTACTGGGTTTGTTTACTTTTAGGTATAAATTCAAAAGGCTCCATGCTTTTCCTCCTTTTTAACCACTGGAGTATACTATATTTTCTTGCATACAGCACAACTAGAATGTAATGCATGCCTTGTTCTTTAAAGGCAGAAAGAACCAAAAAAAAAAAAATCTTTCCTTGTAGTAAGTAACTGAGTAGCAGCACTTAACGAGCAGAGCCCTTACCAGCAGAAGCTGTTTTTACTTTTTTTTTTTTTTTCCTCACATGTAATGCACACTACAATTTCTAGCAGCTAGTTTTTAGCAGGAAAGTGCATGTTCTATGTGAGAAAGTAGGGTAATCTTTAATATGGAATCTTAATTCTGAAAAAGCTGGTTTTGTCTGTAACTTCTTCCTCTCCATTGCAAGGGTTTTGCTGAGTATATCCCAATCTTGGCACAAGATATACAACAACCCAAACCAGAATGTGTAAGTGGCAGTTGTCCAGTGCCATTTTTTTGTGACCAATTTAGATACAAACTGTGCTTATTTGAAGAGTTGTTTTACTCGGTCTGATAGAGTGCATAGAAATGCTTTGCTCTGGGAGTGATCGTTTATTTCTGCTCTGATTCATGGCAGTGCGTCAACAAGCGTCAAATCAGCACCCTCCTGACGATGGGAGTGACAGTGAAGAGGAGCTTGCTGCGTTCTGTCCTAAGGTAAGTTGATGTGCTTAAGAAATGGAGGAAACCTCAAAACTTGGAGGGAAAAAAAAGCTTTTAGTGTGCTGGTGGACTTTCAGTTTATTCGGGCTTGCAGAGAAACTGCAGCCCTGGAATGCAGTCTGGCCCCAAGCCTAGGATATTTTGGTTGGGAGGAAAGTTTTGGCAGAGTCTAACTTCAGGCTCTTGCACATGGCCTGGTCTTGTGTTTAGCAACCTGAGTACTGTGGGTCTCTGCTCTTCTTACCCCTCTTGATCTAAGATGCCTAAGTATGAGAATGTGGAGTTAAAGCTCTGAAATGGTATTTTCCTTTTTGGACTTCAGCCCAGAAACTTCTCTTAAACTCCCCAAAGAACCATTTATGCTTTCCATCCCCTCAGGTTCCTTTACAGATTACTTCTAAAGCTTGATTTTACTTCTGATTTGGGGCCTTCAGTGGTGTAAGAGAGTAGTGAGGGGCAGGTGGTTTGCACTGCATGTCCTCCAACTTACAAGGAACTTAACATCGCTCTCCTCAGCAATCCCTGCAAAGGAGCGAGAGAGATAGGACTGCATTTTTCTGTAGGTTGCTGGGTCATCAGAATCTTTCCAGCTTGGAGCACGAATAAATCATCTTCAGTCCAGCCAGGACTAATATGCTCAATTGTATTGTCTTCTGTTTCAAAGCTGGATGATTCTGTAGTTGCCAAGGAACTGACCATCTCTGATTCTGAGCATTCAGACGCTGAAGTTTCCTACACTGAGAATGGGACATTTAACTTGTCAAGAGGCCAAACTCCACTGACCGAGGGATCTGAAGGTGAGAGAAAAGGGGTAGCTGCTGTATAAGTCCTAGAGATGCTATTTATCATGTTGCAGTGTGATGGATGGTAGGGAACGCATTTGGCTTGTGTTCCGTCCTGAGAGTTGAAGTCTGGCTGTTCCCAATGAAATCCACTTGGTGGCTAGAACACGGTGGAGTCCTTGTCCAGTTTGAACAGAAAGCTTCTTCCTGTAATCCACACATGGTACTTCAGGAAGGCAATGGCAGCTGTTTCTTAGAAAAGCAGATTCAGTTTAGAAATAAGTGTTTCACCATAAACTCTGATACTGAACAAAATAATGGGTCTAGGACTTTGTCAGTCTGTCTTTCAAAGAATATTAAAAGACTGTCTGCAGTTATAGAGAGAACATAGGCTGTCAGGTTAGGTTGTCTGTAAGGTGTTCCAACTTGTCTTTCATGATTAGTGCAGTGAGAGTTTAACATTGCCAGCATAATGAAGTTGCAACAATTTAAGCAAAAGCATATTTTACCCATTTCATAAATCAGTGTAGAACTCTTACTGGCTTCCAGTTAACCCAGTTCCTAATTAATTTGGGGTAAATGCATGTAAGCCTGGGTTAAACGGAAATAAGGGCCAATGCAAGGATTTGTACCATTTTAATAAAACTGGTCTAAAGTAAAACTTCATGGGGTAAGCCAGTGCAACTTTCATGTGAACAAGTCCTGATTCTCTGAAGTTCAGCAGCTGACTACATACTGGTTGACCACTGGGAAAGACTCCCAGGAGGAAGTGTTTGTCTTGTTGACATCAGACATATCTGCAGCATCCAAGCAGCCCTCTTGGAAAAGGAGTTAGTAAATGAAACGAGCACCTCTAACCTTAGCCTCAGAAGAGGGAGACTAGGGTAATGCTGAGCTCTGCAAGGGACTGGCATGGCCTTATCTCAGCTGTGCTTTCCCGGGCAACTTGGAAACTCTGTGTTATGTTTAACTTTTGTGTCTTATCATGTCTAACTTTTGTGTGTCTCCTTATTTTAGACCTGGATGGTCATAGTGACCCAGAAGAGTCTTTTGCCAGGGATCTCCCTGACTTCCCTTCCATAAATCCAGAGGTGACTGGAATAGATGATGAGGATGACACCAGCATTGGGATTCCAAGCCTTGCTTACCGCTCCCAAGGCACAGAAGATCTGCGCCCCCCTTATGACCAAGAAGTTGTTGGTCTACTACCATCTGCACACCATCTTACAAATAACTTAGCTGGATTTGTCACCAGGGGAATGATACAATTAGCCTTGTCAGGAGCCTCCCAGCCAGGCCCTGCATGCAGTGACAATCCCCAGAGAGGCACAAAGACCTATCTCAGAACCTCCAGCTCTGACTTGGACACTGATGCAGAAGGGGATGACTTTGAACTCTTGGATCAGTCGGAGCTGAACCAGTTGGATCCTGCAGGCTCACGAGGCCATTAAGCAATCTCCTCTCTCTCCTTCCTCATTTTTCTATCATGCATAGTGAAGGGGAATCTTCAAAGGAAAAGCATTGTCCAGTCACCTGAACTGTTTCCTGTGTTGGGTACCAGTGTTCTGGCAACCAATCTTAGCTGGGTACATCACTGTGACTTGACATTGTAGAGGGCTAGCTTGGATTTTAAAATGAACCACTCTGATAACTGGCAGGGAAAAGGCTTTTGATGGGATAGCCTCATGATCACACACATCATTCTGCATTGTCTACTGTGATTCTTCTTGCCCCAAACCTGCTCACTTAATACTTGCATTGTGGGTCTGCAACTCCAGTGCTCCCTCAGTCAAACAGACTTAAGTGTCAATTAAGAGTTTCTTGCAGCTCAGCCTCTTTCATGTAGACCTACAACAAAAGGTGAACAGAACTGGCTTCCTCTTTAAATACTGTAACCTAGATATTTTAAGGTTGGTTGTTTTTGGTTTTGTTTTGTTTTTAGTTCTTTCTACTCCTGTGCACAGAGGCTGACATTTCTTCCCTCAGTATCCAGCTCTTGGGTAGAAGCTAACCTCCCAATCATTTACTTATTGCAGACTTCATAACTAAAATAGTGTCCCACAACTTTTAATGTTGCACTTTTACTAACAACTTGTATTTCCTCAAAAATGATGCTTTCTAGTTATGCTGTTTTGTAAGACAATGGCAATAAGACATCTACTGTGATGGCTAGACTCCTTCCAAGATCATCTATGTGCAGCAGCTGCTATTGCATTTGCCTTTTTGAAACGAATGGAGTTAGTTCTAGATCTAAAATCTACTAACTAAACTTCCCAGTTTTACTGCAGAATAGGTGCAGCCTGGGCAGTAGCAATACTACATTTCTGTGACACTGCCTTGTCATGTGACTACTTAGCTACTTTGGGGGGACTTTCTGTAGGAATGTGGGAGAGGATTTGGGCTGCTCAGCCCATTCTCTCCTTGGCCTCTGACAGTCCACTGTGATGTAGAAATGATGTGTCCAGTAGGAATAGAACAGAGGCCACGTGGCACTGAAATGACCAAACAGCTGCCAGATAATGAGTTTGGTCATTTACAGATTCAAACCAGCAACCTGGAGGGAAGAAGCTCTGTAAACTGACTGGCCTGAGCCATTCAACCTTTCCCCTGTCGCTAAACTTTCCCATTGTATTTCTAAGCCATAGTGGATTACAGTTGTGCAGCCAGCAATTTACCTCATCAGGGAAACCACTTCTTGTTGAAGCTTATTTTCATTTGCTCATGTTAGTTCAGGTAAGCTGCTTCTCTGGCCATCTTGTCTGTATAAAATGCAAGATGGAAAGAGGCTAATATTGTATTTGAATTGGGAAGTCACTTGGCTGTCAGATGACGAGTAAAATGTGAAATTTATGTGGAGGCTTCACACACAGTGTCAGCAGCCTGCTTATATAAAATAAATCTTAATTATAGTTCAGCAAGGGTATTCCATTTGAAACACAGCTCACCTTCCTCCTACCCCTGCCAAAACCTTAGATATGGTAACTTGGACATAGTTAATATGACCAGTTATGACTATATGAAAGCAAATAATTTTGCTTTCCAAGATCATTAAACAAAGAGTTGTTAAAGCATTAAAAGTTTGACCTGCCTCAATGCTAGTATTCAGGGTGGTTGGAATTATTTGATACCATGGATTTCTGATTGACAGTGCTGTGCATAGGCTGCCATCTTGGGAATCTCCTGCCACTGCAATATAGCTTTCATGTCAGTAAACTGCCTGTCAGAGGGGGCTGCAACACCTGTAGAAGACTAGAATGTCCCTAATTACTTGGGAGCAATAACTGAATGAGCCATTAGCACTTTAAATAGCTTGAAGCCATTAACCCTGGTTAGGTTTAAGACAGTGGTACTCAAACTCTGGCCCAGGGAGCCATGTCATCCCATGGGTCCAGAAATCTGGCGATGAGGGAGTGGTAACAGCATTAGTTGCTCCCAGAATCATGGCAATTAAAGCTGCCACTGCTACCCTGCTCCAAAATTTCTGAACCTGTGGGGAATCCTGTGATCTGGATAACATGGTTGCATGTGCTGAACCACGCTGGTATGCCATCTCCACAACTGAATCTAGTGTATGGAATCAGGCCAAAGCCAGATTCAGTGCATAAGGTTGCACCATGTGGGGTTATGCTGGATTGTACTAGTGAATCAACCCTGGGTGAGATCAGGCCCATGGACAGTCCCTGTGCATAGGATCTGGCCCTGCACTACTTGTTCAGCTTGTGGGGCTGGAGAGGTTGAGCACACCACTGGTTTAAGAAGTTAAAATTGATATGCTGGACTCATCCTGTTCCTTTCTGAGGTTCTGATTGTGTCCTCTGAGAATTAAAATTTACTTGGTAAGGTAGAAAATTACTTTTAGAAAGTAAGAGCAACCTTAGGAACAACATGGTACAAAAAGCTGGCACATTCCTGGTTCTTAAAAGATTTTGTGGTCTAAATTTGTCTGAGCTCAGAGCTTAAAAGCACAACAGACTCCTGTTCTCCAAAAGCAGTAGTGCATCCTAGTTTGTTTCTCATTCTTGCCTCTTCACAAGAGGAGCTGCCTCTTAAAGTGACAATGGCATGCTTTGGGAAGAGGCCTTGAACTCTCGTGCTGATCATGTTATCAGTCTCCCTTCTGGTATGGAGCGGGGAGATTTTGAAACCCAGTAACAGCAGGAGCCAAGGCATGCTAACTTTAGTAAAGTCCTGCCACATGATGTGAATGCAGTTTGTTACAAACAATTAACTTGTGATCACTCAGCAAATGCACTGAGTTGTAAGACTTGTTATCATGCAGGGTGTATGAAGAAAACGGAGTCCAAGCACTGTAACTGTTGGATGAGCAATGTACAGCTTTAGATGATATTTAAACCTGGAAAAAATGTCTGTCTTATGGCTCTCCTTTTCCTCATGTGGCTTCCTCTTCTGTGAAGAACAAACATCAGCAAAGGACCTTCTAACAAAACACCTCAAATGGTAGGTAGCTGTGGGAAAGTGACAAGTAGCACTAACATCACTCCAACAGTGGGTCAAATTGTATTCCTTGCATGAAATCAGCCATCCACAATGAGGTGCCAGTGTGATGTTACAGAACTGCTTGGAGGTTCTGATGAGCCTAAATACTTGTAGATCTCCAGCTCATTGGAAGTGCTTAAGGCTAATTTACTAGGCAACTAGATAAATCCATTTTAGCCAACAAACTTACATTTGTTTCACTCCGAAGGTGGTGTCTTGAAACTTCTTGGTATAATAACTTTGCTTCTTCATACTCCATTATGTGTACAGAGGTTGTTTACTTCTGGTAAAATTCAAGGGACTTGCAAAGAAGGGAGAGTAAATGATCCCTTGATAATGAGGCACAGGGGAAGTTCCATAGACCACTCTCAGTGCTCTTGATACTGCAGGATTTAAAATGAAGCATCACAGAAATTAGGCATCTAGAAATTTTGGGCTCTATACTTCCTTACAGGTGTAATGGTCTATTGTGTAGTCACTGAGGGCTTTTCCATTTGGAGGAGAGTGCTGTGCTCTTAAGTTTCTGCAGCCTTATGACTTGTAGTGGTAGTCTCTCCTATCTTGCGTCTCCGAGGGTCAGAGGAGGGAACCAATCTCTTTGGCAGAACTGAGGTCAGTTTTCCTACTGAGGCATTTTGCCTCACCAAATGACCTTGTAGCAAAATCTCTCTCTCTCTCTCTCTCTCTTCCCCCCCCCCCCCCAAAAAAAAAAAAATAGTAGTTATGGGTAGGAGACAAACAGTTCAAGGTCAAACTTGTACAAGAAATAAATATCAATTTTCACCTGCTGCACATGTGAAAGTAGAGCTGTTATGTATAGTGCTGTGAAATACTCTTGGCCTCTTCAATCTGTACTAAATTGATCTCTCTCTTTAAAGAGAGAACTATCCAAAGACCTCTGGAGCAGAAAATGTTTGCAAATTGTATTTGGGTGTAACTTTTTAACATTCTTTTGGTGCTGGCTCTTCTAAATACTGGTAGCATTGCCTCCTATGTGTGGACACTCATTAATCTACTCTTTGAAAGGCTGCTTTTCTTTTCTTGTTTTAAACACATTGTGGTCCCAACCAAAAGTATACATGCATGCCTTCATCTCATGCTGAATCAGGTTTGCCACCCTCAATGGGAACATATGCAGAACATAAGTCCATTTCATTTCCTGAACAGTATGAGACTTGGATGAATCCTGCGAGTTTTACATTTTAATGGAGCTCTCAGGCAGTTTCCAAGGTTTGTGGTACCTTGTGATAATGTGTACTTTTTGCTGAATTTAAACCTTTTTTTCTTTGTAGATCTGCATATCTGGTGTGAACATCTAGTTTCATCTGAAGCTGCATCATCTCTAGAATTCATTCATTTAGAAATTCATAGGCGTTAAAACTTAGCATTTTAAGACGTGCAACACACTGCCTTTTTGCCAAACAATGTGAAGTCAGAAATGTGATAAATGACTCTGTTTTTTTCCTAGTGAAGCTACACTTAAAAAAAAATAAGATGTTTTTGCCTAATGAGAGTGCAGTGCTTTGTAAATTTTAAATTGTTTGGTTTGGTATCACTGGTATGGCAATATCATTGTTATCTACTTGATTTTAGTGTTTACCATAGCTAACATTGTAAAAGGCTAGCGTACAGTAATTTTGTGTCACCTTACAGAGATGTTTTTGGAAGTAATTTAAGTAAAATGTTGATTAGAACAACTTGGTTTGTCCTCTTCTTTTTGCCAGGCAGAGTTAGATGGAAGGATGCAGACTCCAAGAGTTTGCCACAGATGTCTTATCCCTACAGGGAGGGTAGGGGAAACTTTCCTGGTATCCTCCTGGGGCATGTCCAGTTTACATAGAGCCTGAACCTGAAGTGGCCAGACCTACCAGCCTGTGAAACCACCTTGGGGCCTGTCCATGCGCTTCCCTGGGGGCGGGTGGGAGCCCAGCATGTGCCCGGCAGCTTGTCCCCGGGGAACGCCTGAGCCGCGCGGGGTAGGGGAGCGGGTGGCCAGCAATGTGCTGGCCCCAGCAGCAGCCTTACCTAGGGGCCTCCGGGAGCTGCAGCTGCGGCAGGGAGCCGGGTTGACAGCCGCAGTGTGGCTGTAGCTGGCCAGGCTCGGGTTTGGGCGGCGCTGCTCCGATTCTTTTTGGCGTGCGGGTCAGAAACCCCCCGGTGCTTCTGGACCACGCACCTGCACGGGGGCGGCCGCACGCGGCCCCGAAGGCGGGTAGGGGGAGCCGGGCACGAACCCGTGCGGGGCACGACCAGAGCCAGGTCCCGGTCCTGGCCCCGCCCCTGGGGCTCCTAGGGGAACGTCACCTCCGGCGGCTGCCACGTGGGACCCCTGCCGAGGCACAACACCAGCCGGCCAATCGGGGCCCTCCTGTCACGGCGCCTGCCCACGCGCCCCTGGCCCCAGGGGCTACCTTCGCCCAGTCTCCCCGCGCCGCGCCGCCTTCCGATTGGTGGAGCTGCGCCTACCGGAAGTGAGGGCGCGGCTCTCGCGCAGGTGGAGGGGCGTGCGGGGGGCGCGGCGCCGCGCAGAATTCCTTCCGCTTCCGCGGTGCGTTCAACGGGCGTCGCGCGAGGATGAGCAAAGGGAGAGACAGCGGCACGGCGGCGGGTGAGCGGCCCCGGACCCTCCTCCCCCTCCCCCTCCCGGCCCCGGCGCCCCCGCGTGACCGCTCTCTCCCCCCCCCCAGGCGGGCCCCCCCCCCGCCCGCCGCCCC